CATTCCTCAGACGACATGTCCATCCTGGGCCTCCTGCAGTGCCACAATGATGCCACCCGAAGGTTGCAGGAACAGCAACTCATATTCCGCTTGGGAACCCTGCACCCCAATGGTATCAATGTGGATTTCACAAGCTTCAAAATCTCCCCTCCCTCTACCGCATCCCAAAACCAGTCCAGCTCGTCCCCGCCTCCCTAACCTGTCCTTCCTCCCACCTATCCCCTTCTCCCACCTCAAGCTGCACCCCCATCTCCTACCGACTAACCTCATCCCGCCCCCTTGACCTGTCCGTCCTCCCTGGACTGACCTATCCCCTCCCTAACTCCCCACCTACACTCACCTTTACTGGCCCCATCCCCGCCTCTTCGACCTGTTTGTTTCCTCTCCTCTATCCATCTTCTATCCGCCTCCCACTCTCTCCCTATTTATTTCAGAACCCCCTTCCCCTCCCCCTTTTCTGATGAAGGGTCTAGGCCCGAAACGTCAGCCTCTCTTGTTTTACAAGTCATTTGGAGCATGTTGGGATAGTTCGCATTCTAACCTTACGTTATGCTGAAATATTCAATAAAGTATTTTTTCCTCCAACACACACATATTAACACTGAATCATTATAAATTAGACAGGTCTAGGAAGTTTCCCATAAATGTACTACAGTGCTCAGAAATAAAATAAAAATCTTATCTTCAGGTACCACTTCATGAAAGTAAGATCCTTACATCAGATGTTAATTTAAGCATCATTTTGTCCTCTTCTACAGAAGTAATGCTGGCTCTCTCTCAAAACACACTAGTTCTATTTTAAAAGTTCCTTCCCTTCTGCATGTGCAATAAAATTACAAAGATTACAGACAGTGGGCCAGGGAAAAGAAAGCAGTAGGAATAAACAGCTTGTGCTTAATTATACCAAACCTTGCACAATAAAGTCAGGAATGAAAACTCATATTGGTTAAAATGGAACCGAGAAGCATCAACAATAATATTTTCACTCATTATTTTCATTAAGCAAACGTGTCAGTGCCTCTGCTAAACAAGCAGACAAATTCAAAGAGACGTATTTGTTGCCACTTGCTTTAGATTGGAAAGGCACCACTCAAAATCCAATTATGCCGTTACATTCACATATAGATGCGGTCTAACTCTCTCATACAAGTGCCACCTAATCGATTTTTAAATATTCATTGAATTCATTTAAAGTTGCTCTTCAACTTATTGAAAATTAACATTTGACAATTTGCCAAATAGTATTTTGGTTGCACAGAACTTGAGTATTGATTTAAAAAAAGGCATTTGGCCAAAGCTATTGGTATTGCACCTATCAGGACATTACTAAGGATACTAATGTGAAGGAGAATAACATTTTATAATGTACAAAAAGAGAGTTTTGAATGATTGGCAAGTGGACTCTGATCAATAGAGAGGTTGCCATGAGAAAGCTTGAGTTAGATGATGACACACAGTTAATTACTAAGCTATGTTTAAATTTAAACTAGGTACGTTGACTCTCATTGGTTAAGGCATTGTCCTCAAATGACTTTGCCTGTTTGTGCTATGAGGAAGACAATGTAAGTCAGAGGTCTCCGAGTGATGATAGGGAGACAGAAAGAGATGAAGTAGAAAAAGGGTCACATGACAGATAAAAGCAAAGTATTGCTAATACTGGAGATCTGAAATAAAAACAAAATGTTGAGGAAACTCAGCGGGTCTAATTTTAACCGTTTCTCTCTCTCCACAGATAATTATTCAAACTGTGTTCCAAAGATGAATGATATTGTACTTGAAACATCAAATAATACGACAGATGGCAGGCTGATAATTCAGATGAGAACAAGGCTGAATGAAGAATATTCCAGGAGAAAGTGAAAAATGACAATTAAAAGCATAAAGATGTTATGAGAAGACACTAATAACTAATGTAAAAAGGAATCTGAAGAGTTTTCTACATGCATATAAATACTAAAAGGTTAGCAAGAGAACAGGTGGGCCAACTAGGTACCAAAAAGGTAATTTATGCAAAGAAACAGAGGACATGGCTGAGATTATAAATTACTACTTTGCATCTATTTTTCTTAAGGAAGATGCTGCAGAAGTCAGGGAATGTGGAGGTAGTCTTGATACAGGAAATGCTTAAAAAAAACAAGATATTAGAATGTTTAGCAAATGGGATTAGGTCAGATTGGGATCTCTGGTCAGCAAGGCTTTCTACAAGCTGTGCAACTCCATAAAGCAGCCCGTTTAATACTTGGCACATGTTACCTGAAGCACTGACCTGTATAATGATGAGTAGACAAATGCCAGCCCCCATCTCTGCTGGATCACCATACATGCCTGTCATTACGTATACTATCGCCTGACCAATAGTAATAATCATCCCAAATACTGCAAAGAAAGTGCAAATATTCAAATATCAACTCCTTCAAAGCCACAAATGCATGCCCAGCACAACAGAAAACCATTATTTTTAAGATAATATTTTATTGTTTGGGAAGGCAGCGGCATAGTGACAATGTCACTGCACTAGTAATCCTGAGCCCCAGGCAAACGATCTGGGTTCAAACCCCATCAGAGAAGACTGTGACATTTGAATTAAATAAAAGTCTGGAACAAAAGACTGGCCATGTAGCCATTGTCAATTATTGCAAAAACTCATCTGGTTCATAAATGTCTTTTAGGAAGGAAACTTGCCATCCTTACTTGGTTTGACCTATATGTGAACCAATGTTTCCTCTCATTTTTGTTGTGTCTGCATGGATTGCGGAGTAGTCTAGGGGTATATTTAAACCAAAGTCATATGATGGAAAATGACAACATGCATTTGGAAATCTTAGTTGCTATGGCCACACAAGCGTGCAACTGACTGGGAACATTGCACGTAACTCCAGACCAACAGCAATATTACAGACTCTGAACCGCCCTCTAGGTAATTACAGATGGGCAATTAATACTGGCCTAGCCAGAAACACCCAAATCTCATGAAAGAATGAAAACAATAGTGGACGAAACTGAGGGGAAAAGCAGATAATCTTTCTTAAGAGAGTAAATGAAAGATCAAAATTTATATTGGCACTTCAAGTACACAGTAACTTTTCAAGATCAATGAGACAGATTTTGGTTACAGATTCTTTCAAAACACCAAACATTAACATTTCTTTAAATGAAGAACTGTATTTCAAGCACAGGGATCTCAAAAATAAAGAAAAATGTACTCAAAATTATTCCAAGAAACTCAAACGTGCAACACTTCAGTTATGTGTGTAAACAATTATTGTCACACTTTTCATGTAGAGATCAGTGACAAAGATGTAAAAGTATTAAACAAGGTGTCCAAGAAAATAGTGTTCAACAACAGATTGACCAGGTCAAAAGTGTCATTTAAAGTCGTCTTCAGAGGATGGGGTAAAGGGGCTTGGGAACAGAAATTCAGTTTAGAAGTAGCTGTGGGCATGGCTTCCAGCAATGGAGTGGAATGAACAGATAGTTTCTTCTGCTTGGCCTCTGGAGTAAGTTTTGAAGGCAGAGTGAAAGGTGGTTACAGACATATGGTGGGCAAGGCCATGAATGGATGAAGGTTGAAGAGTTTAAATTTGCGTATCAAGGCCTCTAAGTACAGATCAGGACAGCACTGAAGTATGTGACTCTGAAGATGACAAAGGCACAGATTCTGACTACAGCAAAAGGTGAACTGGGGGTGTTGGTGAACTCATACCACACCATGGAACTGACAGCTGGTACTCTTCTTGTGATGGAGAGGAAATGGGGTTCGAAAATCAACTCTGGATCAAATAATTCAAGCTTGAATTCAGTCTGGTTCAGCCAGAGATGAAAATCAGGGCCTATTCCTCAAAGGCAATTTAGGTCAGAATTCTAAATGCTTACACTTTTGAGCTCCATTGAAGAGTGCTCGATCTTTTGGTGTGTCACCAACTTCGATGATTTTTGCTCCAGCCAGCAGCTGCATAATTAGACCAGAGGTTACAATTGGAGAGATCCCCAGTTCCATTAAGGTACCTGCAAACACCAGCAATTCAATGAGAAATGTCAGGAATCACAGTAAAAAGCAGTTTTTAATGTCAGCGCAAATCAATTTTGCTGAAATAATAATCAGTACGTACACAGTGTCTATTTAGGTATAGATAAATCAAGAGAATCAAATATCGAATGACCCAATTCTAGCCATTCACAGAACAGGGCCTCCAGCCAATTGCTCCTCTACAAGTTCTGATGCAGTTCCCACAACCAAGAACAGATTAACACCAGTCATTTAGCTCAAGGGTGCTATCGGAATTTTGTTTACAGCCCAAATCATGCTTGTTTTGCATTTATAACAACTGCATTTCAGAAGTATACATGGCACCTTTAGCTATTTTCGATGTGAAATTAAAACACTATACAAAGCATCTTTTCTAAGAAATGTCTCAGTAACAGGTGAATTTAAGTTTGCAGCCAATACTGGACAGCACATTAGAAAAAGCTAAGAGCATGATCTGTAAACTTTCTCAAGGATATCCCTTCAACTGGAATTTGAATAGTTTAAATATCTTGTTAGAAATCAGTTAAACCTACTTTAATAAAACCTACCTCTGTTGGATGCCAGTATGACTCTCATCCAATAGAATGGATCAGCTGAGTCTGATGACATGATGCCAAACAACGGTATCTATAACCAACAATGAGACATTAGCATGCTTCAAATATCGCTCGTAGCGAAGAAGCTAGCCAATTTCCAAAATGACTGCACTTACCTGACAGCATACTAAGAAAATGAAGAGTGTGATAGCCGTCCATAATACTTTTTCCCTGAACTGGATCTATGGTATAAATAGATGTTAGAGATTGTGGTTTTCAAAAATCCAGTCACAACAGGCAGTTTTCCATAACTGTTCATTTTTTACTTTCACATACTACACAACAGTTATCAAACGGGGCAAGAAAGCAAGGTAACAGTTGCTTTGATAATAATCTGAACATTTCAGGATAGTCCCATGGAAGTCAACAGTTCTAGAAGAGGAGAACAGGACTGGATAATCTCCGAGGTGAGTGCTGACATTTAGATAGTGAACATGCTGATGTTGTCCTGCCAGACATGGCAATTCTGCGTTGTTGTAGTTACCAAGCACAAATTATGGCCTTAGAATTTAGCAACAAAAATTACAAGGCACTCACTAATACCCTGAAGAAAAGTTGGACTTGCAGCCAACAGGTTATTTTATACATTGTAAATTGTGAGACTTCATAGTAATCTTGTCTTTTACTCTCCTTTCCCCTCCCATAATAATTTGGAGAGTGAATACAGCCAGTTTTACTTATTTCTAATGAGGAGGCATTCTACCATGTTCGGTGAATTCTTCTGCAAACTTAACACTATGCAGTTAAAGTGCTTGGATACAATGTGGTTTGCGTCACAGAACCTCTAATGTGAAGGAAGGTCAAAAACTTAAAACACCTGCACTACATGATGGCAAACTCAGGAGATTGTTACTGATGACGCATCAACATAATTTTCATCTGAATTTACTTTTTCAACAATATATACCATTCCCAGTCAAAAAAAAGACAAAAGACAGCCAACCAACTTCCAAAACTGATCCTGTTAATTTCCAAAACTATAGGTTTTTTTTTTTTAAAATTCACTTGTCGGATGTGGGCATTGCTAGCTGGCCAGTATTTGTTACACATCACTGGTTGCACTTGAGGGGGTACCAGTGAGCTACCTTGTTAACCTGCTGCAGTCTACATGCTGTAGATTGACCCACAATGGGAGTTCCAGGATTTTGACCCAGCCACAGTGAAGGAACGGTGATATCTATCCACGTTAGGAAGGTAAGTGGCTTGGAGAAGAACTTGCAGATGGTAATGTTCCCATGCTTCTGCTGCTCTTGTCCTTCTAGATGGAAGTAATCATGGATTTGGAATGTGCTGTCTAAGAATCTCTGGTGAATCTCTGCAGTGCATCTTGTACATAGTACACATTGCTGCTACTGAGCATCAATGGTAGACATAGTAGATACTTATGGATGTCATGCCAATAAAGTGGGCGGCTTTGTCTTGGAGAGTTGTTGGAGCTGCAACATTGATAAAAGAATGGGCAAATGGAGAATATTCCATCACATTCCTGACTTGTGCCTTGTAGATGGTGGCCAGGCTTTGGGGGAAGTAAGGAGCCACTGAATTTTTGCGGCGAGTCAGTTAAGTTTCTGATCAATTGTAACCCAAGTATGTTGATTGTGGGGGATTCAGTGACTGTAACACCATTGAATGTCAAGCGGCAGCAATTAGATTGTCTCTCACTAGATATAGACATTGCCTAGCATTTACGTGATGTTAATATTACTTGCTACTTGTCAGTCCAAGCCTCCATCTTGTTGCATTTGGACACGGACTATTTCAGTGTCTGAGGAGCTACGAATGGTGCTGAACATTGCGCAATTATCAGTGAACAGCCCTACATCTGACCTTATGACAGAGAAAAGGTCATTGATGCAGCAGCTAAAGATGAATGGGCCTAGGACACTACCCTGAGGAACTCCTGCAGGAATGTCCTGGAGCTGAAACGACAGACCTCCAACCAGGTATGACTCCAACCAGCAGAGAGCTTGCCCCCAATTCCCACTAATTCCAGTTTTGCTCAGATTCCTTGATGCCTCACTCTGTCGAATGCAGCCTTGATGTCAAGGGCTGTCACTCTCATCTCACCTCTAGAATTCAGCTCAACTGGTTAAAAGTCTCATCACACATGAGGTTTTGAAGAAGTTGCTAGTAAATCAAGAGGCAAGGTTGCAGGTTTTGCCAATTAAGATGACTGAATGCTGACTTGCACAACGGCACTATTTGCTGGCACTTGCTACTTCAATCAGATTTGCAAAAACACTTACTTGCCATGTAATTTATGGTCAGAGGCATGGTAGAAAGATACAGATGAGAAGCCACAGCAGGTCAATTCGAACACACCCATTCAGATGTGAAAATGCTCAAGAGTGACACAGCAAGGCAGCAGACCCTTCAGTCCAACTAGTCCATGCAAACCATAATCCCAAACTAAACTAGTCCAATCCACATGCACTTGGTGGATATTCCTCCAAACCTTTCTTATTCATGTACTTATCAAAGTGTCTTTTAAACATTGTAACTGGACCTGCATCCACCACTTCCTCTGGCAGTTCATTCCATACATAAATACTCACTGTGTAAGAAAGTTGTCCCTTATGTCTTTTTTTTTTAAGTCTTCCTCCTCTCACCTTAAACATATGGCAAGTCTTGAAATCCCGCACCATAGGGAAAGACACCTGCCATTCACTTTACCGGTACCCCTCATGATTTTAAAAACCTCTATAAGGTCACCCATCAACTCCCTACGCTCCAGTGAAAGAAGTCCCAGCCTATCCCTACAGTCGAACCTTCCAGTCTCAGCATCATCCTGGTAAATGTGTTCTCAACCTTGGTAATATCCTTCCTATAACAGGGCAACCAGAACTACAGACAGTACTCTAGAAGAGGCCTCTACAATGTCCTGTACACCTCAGCATGACTTCCCCACTATGGTCAAACATCTAAGCAATGAATTCTTTGAAAATGATACTTTAAACCAAGAAACCAACAGCATAGATCTGGTGGAAGCATAACAAATTATTGTGAGCAAGATGTAAAATTTGAATTGAAATTAATTTACCTTTCTTTCCGGTTTCTGGATTTCAGGTAGAACAGCACAAAATGGCTTGATGACTTCTAAAAATTTAACTGCAATAAACAGAACATTAAGTTTTACCAACTTAACAAGCTATGAACTAGTTATCGTCTCAACACTTTGTTTGTAAACAATACTTTCGCTTCTCTTTCACAGTGATAGAGGAGAAATCTGGATAGTACCAGATAAAAGAAATGCTAGAGACATTGTCAATTATTCAGTTCTTTACATTGTGCTATGTTGCAAAGGGAACCAGCAAGATTTCTATATTTTAAAAATACTTGGGAATATGTACTGGGGCTGCAGAAAATGTTTGAAGGATTTGTGGGTTCTGTCTCTCCCTGTAACTTGGGACTGTGCGTAAAAAAAACTTGCAATGAATCCTGACAATGTTGCAGGATCAGTATGCCGACTCCACCAAGTATTCTCAATTTTAGGCATTTTCATAACAGCATTTACTGATAAGGGCTGTTTCTAAACCTATAGCTAACATTAAACTCTAATCCTCACATCAGTCAGCGATGCAACAGTAAAAAGAATACAATACAAAGTTGCAAAATATAGATCATAATTTATTTTCAAATAAGCAAAGTAACCCTATGGTTGTGTATACAACTGTTTAGTGAGCCACTCCTCACGTTTGGACCCTCAATCAAAATAAATGAGTAACAAAAACAGAAACTTCTGGAATTTCACAGATCAGGCAAAATCTGTGGAGAAACAGTTGCCATTTCAGGTAAATGGCAACCCTGCACTGTATTATGCTTTTGTAAAAGTCATTGAGTACCAATTAAGACCAGAGCTTGCAATTAGAACTTGGTCTTTCATGTTACAACCCAGCAGTGTTTTTAAATTTGTTATATCTGCAATTAATACATAAAAACTGGTAATAACTGCATTTTTCCAAAGCGATTACTTTGCTTCAAAAGTAATCGCTTGACAGTAAAAATGGACAAGACATCCTGATGGCTTGACATTGAAAACTTGAATGATACTCCATAATTAATTCACAAGTGAATGCATTTTCAATATGTAAATTAAAATGAAGTAAAAGTGGAGCTCTTGTGCTGCAGTGGCAGTGTGCCTACTCCACGACCGTGGAGGCCCAGGTTCAAGCAACATCTCCTCCAGAGGAGGGTAATAACATCTCTGAACAGATTGATGAGAAAAAAAAAGTTCAATTAAAAAAAATGAAGTAAAAGTGGGGCTTTTGTGGCACAGTGGTAGTGTTCTTGCCCCTGAACCAGGAAACTTGGCTTCAAGTCTCACATGCTCTGGAGGTGTGTAATAATATCCCTGAACAGGTTGATCAGAAAACATCAAAAGTGAAGAAAAAAAACAAGATTCAGGTGGACACTTCATCACAATTTCAAACAGGAGCTCTGTTATCTTTACTCTGAAGGTCAACGAAGAATGTGATTTACACAGTATGGATTCACAGTTATTGACAAATATTAAGAGTTGAATCTGTATTTTGTCCAATTACTGCAGTTGAGTCACTTTTCCAACAAAGCTTCATCACCTTGAAATGTTTGTGGTTTCTGTTTGTGCAAATACTGCAAACCCTGCAAAGTATTTCCTGCATCACATTTTAATTTCAAATTTCCAACACCTGCTGCATTTTATTCCAGGAGGGAAGTCAACATGGAGTGAATACAGGATTGACGCTATATGAATGAGTCAAACAGACACACACACACAAAAAAATCAGTAATAACTATAAGTAACCAATAACGAATGAATGTGAGAGATTGTTAGATTGCCATGGAGGGAAACTGTTTCTCGCCATCTGAATGACGTTTACCCAACCCTCACAGTGAGTCGTGACAAGTAAAGGTGCCCCAGGCCCCCACCCTGGAAGGCTCATCAACACCCTGCCCCAGGAAGAGAATACTTAGTGACCCCCCCCAGGTAGTTAACACTTAATAATTCCCAGGGAGTGAAAGCTAACCACCCATTCGTCCAGAGGATGAATACTGTTTCTCCCCCAAGGTGGAGGAGAAGGGTAAATATTCACTGCCCCTAACAAGGGGGTAGGGTTGTAAATACTCACTGGCCATAGCTGCTGTTCAGCTCCAGCTGCTTTCCCACGTGATCACCGGTATAGCCACGTGACTCCGGCGGCTGCGAAATAGACAGCGCGTTCGCCTTTTGGTTGCCGGTGCTTTAATTGCGGCCCTCTCTTCTCTGCTCCCCCAGCTGCCGGTGATTTAACTGCGGCCTTCTCCCGCTTATTTTTTTTTTGCGCGTACTTTCCCCCCCCAAAGACGGTGCGACGATAAAAAAAAATCATTCATGAATCGCCGCCCGCTCCTCCACCTACTGCTGTACCCGCCGCCGGTCCTTACATCAGCGGGCTCTCTGCGTCACTTCCTGTCGGCACCAACGGAAGGTGAGGGCGCGGAATTCAAACTGAGAGACGGTTAGAGGGAGACGTTGTGGACGGCTACAAGATGCACTGTGGATTGATGGTTCAAAACAAAAGGTTTCGTTTTATAAATCATACTGTTCACCTTTTACTGCTCTCTGCTTGTCAGCTTCAATCCTCTGGTCTTTTCAAGATGAGTTCTGAGTACTAAAAGTGGCCATTCTCTTTGCAGAATTTTTAACACCCTTTTTGAGTTTTATAGGTGGCGTTTATTTCTCATGTCTGCGTCCTCAAGTCAAAATTTCTTTGGCTTTACCTCTTCCAAATTCAACATGGGTTTGCTGAAGCTGTTTTCTTGAATTTTGTAAGCTTCGTGAGCTAACTCAGACACACCCACGATCACGCGACACCAGGTTATAGCCCAACAGGTCTAGTTGAAAACTCCAGCTTTTGGAGCCTCATTCCTCCTCCAGGTGTTAGTGAGAGAGGTCAGTATCAGACACAGAATTTATGAGTAAAAGATCAAAGAGTCACACCATTGAGTATGCATTAAACAAACCTAAGTCCTGAGAGAACTGACTTCAAAGGAATTCAGCGATTTATATATACATATCAATCAATTAAAGCTTTCTAACTGATTAGAGATTTAACAGCATCTTAGGTTTGTTTAATGCATAATCATCAATGATGTGACTCTTTGATCTTTTACTTAAATTCTGTGTCTGATACTACCCCTCTCACTAACACCTGAAAGAGGAGTGAGGCTCCAAAAGCTTGTGTTTTCAAATAAACCGGTTTTGACTATAACTTGGTTGTGGTGTGGACCTTGTCCACCCGAGTCTAACACTGGCACTTCCACATTATGACACCCAGAAAGCATACTTGATAAGAGGCATCAGAATCCAGAGAAACCTGCAACAGTGATACAAAATCTTATTGGCTCTACCTGTCAATCTGCTTTGTATGGGAAATGTTCATTTTTCCTTTAGGCCATTTCCTTTGTTTTGCTACTTTTTCAAATAACAAAGACTCTACATCCCAAACCTCACTTTGGTAGGGCCTGTACAGATTTAGGCATTTTCTTGCTGAACTTGATTATGGCTAGGGATTTTATCTTCAGAGCCTCCTGCTTTGGAGGTCTCTTACGCTCGACCCTCCCAGTTGGTAGTCTTTTCTTAATTTCCCCTCTTTATCCTTCTCTCGCTGCACAAATTCTAGATCCAGCCTCTTACATTTGTTTCTCTTAAAATTCAATTAATTTAAAGCTCAATTTTAAGCTGCTTTGGCTGCAGGTGAATTCTTGCTAGCTCAAAAGACTCTCAACTGGGTGCCACTAATCCCTCTCTTATCAGTCCCAAATGTTATCCTAATATTTTAATTATCTTGGCCTTCCAGCTGTTGCAGGAAATTCTACTTCTAATCTCATTGAATCATTACTAGTGGCCTTAACCTTAGTCAAGTCTTGTAAATCAGTCAGAGGTACTTACTGTTCTGAAGAAAGAAAAAGATCAGTGGACCTGAAACATTAACTGTTTTCTCACAGCAGATGCTGTCAGACCTGCTGAGTTTATTCCAGCAATTTTTGTTTCTGACTTCCAGCATCTGCAGTTCTTTGGTTTTTATTTTGTTTAGGGTTACTTCCATCTGCAGGATAGATTTACTTGCTTCCAGTGGCATCTTATTTTATAGTTTGAGAAGCCTGCTATATTAGACAAAGAAATTCCCAACAGGTTTCATCAATAAACAATGCTACAAAGCTAGGAAAACTTATCCTTTTAAGAAGTGGCAAATTGTGATATTTACTACTATGCAAAAATTAAACCATATCCCCCACAAATCAAAGCATACACTAATTCATTCACAACTTGGGTAGATATATTTACAGAAATATCATGGGTGAAAGGAACAATTTCTGTGGCACAAGAGTCCGATGAGGTAACTTTCTGTTCTTTTGGTTTTGGGGTATATCACGTCGTCCACCTCAAAAATCCTCTATTTGGTAGTTGGTCAGTTTGGCCTGGGTCTCCAAAAGAACTTCTAACTGAAGCAGAGGCCCTAAGTGTTGTTTACTCCACACTGAGAATGAGAAAGAGAAAGAAACCAGATGTTTGACTGCAACTCCTCTCTGTGCTGTGACAAGCTGCCAATTTACCTTTTTTAATAAAACACAACATCAAGCCGACAGAAGTTCAGACACCTAGATTAGGGACATCTCCCAATGTTAAAGATATACTACAAGCAACCTCCGTCATAAAGGAAAATCAAATACTAGAAAACACTTGTGTGCTTCACAGTTAAGGATTTCTTCAACTGAGCAGACAGATGTATATTCTCCACAATCTCATCCAAAAGGTCAAGGAAAAGCTAGTACAAAAATTTGCAGTAAGCTCCTGCATATCCTAAAGAAAACACTCTCCTGAGAATTGTTACATTGGAATAGAATAAGTTTCAAACTGTAAATTAAATCACCATCATCACAAATTTTGATGAAGAGTTCGGATTTAAGTGGAATAAAGTTTGAAACAAACTTCAAGCCAACGGTCAGTAATGATGCCACCGATGCCACAAGAAGATGCATATTGATAGAAAAACAATGGAAGCTTCTGCATCTGAATTAGGTCAGCCGCCATACATCAGTGTGCCATTAGGAGCTGAGATGATTAGGAAGGGTCAGATTCAAGCAAAATGTCCATCCTTCCCATTTTCCAAAATGGATCCAAAACAGCAATAAGGGTTATCAGGATGAAGCAAGAACAAATTTCTGGATAACACAATTGAAGAATGAGGAAGGTGGCTTCACCAGTTATTCAATTTGTTGAGAGGGAAGGAGAAAGCCCAAAATTAGGAATCTTGAACTGGATGAACACACAGTTACATCCAAAATGGAAATATTCCACTGATGTACATTGAAAACATGGTGTATAAAACACCATGGAAGACACGACTAAGAGGGGATAAACATGCTAAGAACCAAAATACTACAAAGAGGAGGAAAAGTAATCTGTTATAGCAGGGACCATATTGACATGTATAAACAACTTAAGTACATCAGCAAAATGCACAGTGAACAAAATGCGTTTAAAGACCCTCAATTCCCAGCTATTCATTAGCATTAACACTTGATTGAATGCAGCAATCACACCTATGCTGATAATGTGATGAGTATTTGGTTGGAATGAAGGAGATTTGGGGCAGTCAAACCTGAAGCTAACGTGTTCCTAAAAGTATATTCTAATCTACTTGAGATAATTTTAGGCTTGAAGGAACCCCCACACAACACAGCTGTATAATAAAACTGCATTTTTAATGTTAACTGCATGTTTTAATTTGTTGTTTTTAGACTCATGGAGCAGGCTTTGGGGAGGTAGAAAAAAAAAATTCAACTCGCGTGATTACACAAGTTCATGGATAATTTGATTATACAAATAATAGATTAGCAGAAATTTGAGCTGTTAGCTAGCTGCCACCCGTGGCTGCAATTTCCATGGGTGGTTCAGTGGTTAGCACTGCTACCTTACAGTGCTAGGGATCTAGGTTCACTTCTAGCCTTGGGTGCACGTTAGTTGGATTGGCCATGCTATAGTGTCCAGGGATGTGCAGGCTAGGTGAATTAGCCATGGGGAATGTGGGGTTATGGGGATAGGGTGATATGCTGTTCAGAGGGTTGATGCAGACTAGATGGGCTGAATGGCCTCTCTCCATACTGTATTCTATTGTTAGGACCAAAGCAAACATTCTACCCATTTTCCTAGTTAGCACAATGTCACGTTTTATGCATCCGATGTCAGATTGTCTGATTTACATTATATGGAAAGAAAAGGCCAAGCACACAAGAATGTTAATATCAGGACATTTAATGTTTTTCAATTCAGCATCAAGTATTTCCAGAATTTGAATGTACACCATGCCGAGAGAAAATCCATTTGCTCATCATAACCTCATACTACACCTGCAGGGCTACAGGAAAAAAGCTAGGAGGTGGTAGCAGAGTAGCTGTTAGATCTGGCATGCCCAATGGACTGATTGGCCTCCATCTGTGATGTAACCATTCTAATGATTTCAGGATACTAAGACTTTTAAACTTGTTTTCTCTATTTCAACGATTATATTCTTACTATGTGGAACCCCAGCTTACTATCCTCCTCTCACTGACAATAATGACTACCATTTTTTGTGAAAGTTTATGCTCACCTCTAATTAATTTGCTAAGATATGCAGAGTTTGCCCATGAACACCACAGAAAGCAGCGTTAAATAGTTGAAAGAATAAAAGTTGCAGGGTGGGGGAGCTGTTGGAGGAAGGACAGGAATTGTTTTTCAAAAAGGAGCCACTGCAGACACAATGGGCTAAATTCTGTACTATTGCATTAATCTCCACAATAAATTAGCTCATTGATTGATTTTGTCTTAAAGCTGTTCCCTAAATTCTTTGACCTCGGAGTTTGGTAATTCAATCTTTTCCATTCAAAGCTCTTAGATGGCCATTTACATCAGGAATACGATATAAATGCAAACAATGTATTGCTGCAGATCAATATTGAGCAACACTGCAGGCAGACAAAGGGAGAATAGCATAGTTCATACCAACAATAGCACTTCTTCAGACAAAATCAATTTGACTATAACAGCTTGTATTCCCTTGCAGCAGAAGAGTCATCCCTTTTGTTCATCTCCCTGAAGTCTTACACTATGATTGGAGCATTTACATTCACTCCATTTAAACATGAGGTGGTCTACACTGGGAAAAATGAGGAATGTACATTACCAAATGTAAATAACATGCATTCCCTACTAAAGTGACCAGTTCCACCAACTGCTATCACTCCACCTTAAAAGAAGGCTGTTAGTATGCTACACACTAAAATTAGATTTGGTAGAAATGCAAACAAATTGCTCAGAATGATTTATACTCTTTGCTAACCTCACCTCCACACTTCAACAAAGGAAAAAGTGACCAGAATCCATTGGGGAAGAAAGTACATCAAATGAGGTTACTTTTTCTCACCATTTCATAATTGATAATGTCAGAAAACACACTACAGTTGCATAAATTAAAACCTAAAAATAACAAAGCACGTAATTGTGATTTTCAGACAGTCAACTGCTCTAAATAATGCTTACACGCTTTTTTAAACCCCCAATTGAACTGTAGACATACATCTCCCTTGTTATAATTTAATTATCTCCAAGGATGACAGCAGAGTTGTTGTTGAACTAGTAATCCAGTGGCCTGGACTAAAGATTTGGATAATTAAATTCCTACTGCAATAGCTGGGGAATTTAAATTGATTAACAAAATCTTGAAGAAAATATGCTTAGAAACCATGAACTGCAGTGCAACAGTCTGAAGATTAACATTAATTTGCTTTTGAAACTCCAGAACATGTACACCAAACCTCATATTTGCTTGCAAAAGTACAGTTCACTTTGTATGCCCAACACCTAAATAGCTCAGAATTTTAATTCTTATTTTTACTGAACTTAGTTGGAACAACTTCCATGATCTGAGCTAAATCTGTCATTTTTCCTTTAATAAAAAAAGTGTAACATTAATTTTTGTAAAAAGTTTCAGTTCAATGGGTATTCTCTCATCAGTTTTAAGTTGTTGGTCTTGTTCGTAATCAAGCACCATAGAGCAGAAACACAAGCTTTTCCCAAATTCCTTTCAGGAGAAGGTTCTGGTGAGAATGTTTTGACTTTGTTCCTGATGTAAAGTCCCAATTCCAACTGCAGGTGTTGGAAGAGACGGTCTGCTCACCAACTTTAACTAGGAGACAAATAATGAAAAAAGAATTAATGATTTTTCCTTTGAATAAATTAGGATGCCTGAGTTGTAATTTTAATAAACATGTACTGTGGAAAGTGCTTGCTCACTTAGCACCTACCTATGCTTGCAGCATCCATGCCTAGCCTTTCAGTGCCCTGCCTGTTAGCATATCAATGCTTCAGCCAAACCCTAAAGGCTATCAGAATTTACATAATGTGTTCTTTTGCCCAGATAGGCTACTTGTCAGTTGGAATCTATTCGGAGCTGGGAAAAGAGAATATTTTGCAGTATGGCACACCAAGATATCATTGTAACATCTATATTGTATGTACGTTTATTCATCCAAGTGGCCATTGTCAGAGAGTATGTTGGGGATCGTCCTCAGTCCTGTCAATGGGGTCCACTTAGATCATAGGGTCCTATTACTATCAGTTAGGGACAGTCTGCACAGTCCAGGAGCTTGACCTGGTCAGTTGCCCACACAGACCATTCACTGTTAGGAAATCTGCCTGCAGAGTGGGCAACGGTCACTTCCTGGAGGGCCACCACATATAGTCAGGGGAATTGTGTATTGTCAATCTGGGAATTGCAAAGACAGTGGTCAAGAGTATGGTCAGTCATGACTTGGGGCTTGAAGTTGGTCAGAGGTCTGGAGAGAATACAGTCCTGTGGCTCCCTATACGGAGGAGTGGACAGGGTGTAAGGGGTAGGCCACTCAAGGATGAAGAGTGGGAGGAAGCAGAAGCATGAGTTGAGGTGGGGACAAAAATGATGTGGAGAAAGTCAAAGTATAACGGAGTATGTGGTACAGCATCAGAGGGCATCCTAAGTGAAGGGATGGTGGGGTTTGTTGGCTGTGATCCCTAACATGGCCTCCACAGGACAGCATACAGGACCAAGACAGGCATCAAATAAGTGAAATGCTGGGGCTTGGCAAGAAGTCCCTTTCACCTTACCCCATCCTGACAGCCCATTTCTACCCATCAGCACCACCCATGTAAAGCATTCCATGTATTCTTCACAAATAGGCTTAGAGAGCCCCTAACAATCCTGACATTAACACTCATCGATATGACTGTTCAAACTTGGTTAAGAAACTACTGAGCAGGCCCATTGTGAAATTACAACACTAACTACACCTGTAAGAGAGTTCACATGTCTTGAATTTGTGAAAGTACAAATTCTTATTGTTTATAAGTAGGATAGCATTTGTATAGAAACTGGATCCACATCTATGTGAGTCAAGTTTCAAAACTGCTCTTCCAACCCAAAACAAATAAAACATCCCATTTGATTAAAACAAATATTAACATTTGAGAATGACTTGGATGTATGATAGATTACCTTGCATGCTAACTGTTTCTCAAACCTGGGAGATACAAAAAACCATGGGCCCATGTTCTGTGGTTCTTCTTGACTCCATATAAAGTCTGAAAAATAATTTCCATATTTAGTATTCACAACATGTAAAAGATTGTCCTCAGGGCAGTTTGGCTGTTGTGTTTGCCAACATGTCATAAATTAAGTGAAGACAGTACTAAGCAAATACCCGAACCCTAACCCTATCGCAGTTTTTTTTCAAAGCACCAATATGTTGACCAAATTAGGAAGATTTTTAAGACAGAGTTGCACAAGATGATTTCAGCAAGGCCAGCTGTGGCTCAGCTAAATTGGGTCTCAACCTCTAATTAGAAGAGGAGAAAGCAAAATATAAACATTGCTAAAAGGAGACAAAGCTGAAACATTCCATTTTGCATTCATCAGCACTGGGGCGCAAGAAACCAGACTTGGAAAAGGGGCACCAATTTATACAACATAACAGAGTACTGATTTGTAGGACCACTGTTAGCATGGAAAAAAGTGGTTGAGGCTGAAACATTGAATGTTTGAGGAGTTGGACATAGTCCTTAGGGCTGTAGGTAGCAAAGGGTATGGGGAGAAAGCAGGAACAGGGTACTGAGTTAGATGATCAACCATGATCATATTGAACAATGGAGCAGGCTCAAAGCCTACTCCTACTTTCAATATTTCTACGACTATGAAGCAGGAATAGTTAAGTGTGTCTTAGTTCTTCGGCCAGGCAGGTAGACTCTGATTAATCAAGTTGTCGTCGTGGGGAAGGCAGCAGACATTCTCCATGAGCCCTTTCCCAGTTAGAAAAGTGCAGAGTACATACAAATTCTTTTGCTTACATGAAACAGAGTCCTGTGTGTTAATATGGAACTACCAGCATGTGCAAACGCATCACAATGCAAGCCCAACTGGTGTAATTCTTTAGCAATGTTCCCTGCTTGCGGAATTCACTACTGCACACATGCCTTGGAGGCCCACTCAACCGAAAAGAAAATTGGAGGGAATGCTGATACTTCACAGGGTTCACTTTAGCCTGTTGGCTGAGATCTGAAGTCAGTGCTGATGGACCATTGCCCCACATGAAACAGTGTGGCAAGAAATGTAGATTTTAATTAGAAATGTTAGACAGAGTCAAACAAAAAAAAATTCATCGTGCACAGACTGGACAGTTCATAAAAAAGCAAAGAACAACCAAAAAGTTAATAAATAGAGAAGTAGAGTATGAAAATGCTAGCCAGAAATATAAAAACAGATAGCATGAGTTTCTATAATTTTTTATAGAAAAAGTTTGATAAAGCTAACAAAGTGAGCTTTGGTCCTATAGGAAGTGACACTAGAGAATCAATAAAACACAAAGAAATAACAGATGAATAACAAGTATTTTGCATCAGTCTCCACTATAGAAGATACAAGTAACATCCTAAAGCAGCGATCAATCAGTAAATGGGAGGGAATTACAATCACCTGGGAAGTGGTACCAAGTGGATTGTTGGAGTTATGGGCTGACAGGTGCCCAGGTCCCAAAAGATTTCATTCTCGGGTCTTAACAAAGAACAATACAACACAGGAATAGGCCCTTCGGTCCTCTAAGCCTGCGCCAGCACATTTTGCCCTTCCATAGTAAACCAGTCTTCAATTACAGGATCTGTATCCCTCTATTCCCTTCCTATTCATGTATTTGTCCAGGTGTTTCTTGAATGCTGCTTCAAAGTAGATGAATGGTGTACTCCTGTTGCTAATTCATATCTTCTTATGCAAAATAAATCTTTAGCAATGATTCTGGGATGTGCATGATGACAAGTCACATTTATGTAGCACACAAAATTGGTGCTTCACAGGAGAATAAATCAGGAAAAAGCAAAGGACAATGTTAGAAACTTTACTGATTTTTCATTATTTTATTCTTTTATTAATTTTGAATTATGAGCTGGAAATAACTGATGGACTTTGAGACTCCTTGGGATAAAATGAACAGACCAGGTGAGCTTCGTTTGTTTGAGAGGCTAGGTCTGGATGCTAATTGGAAGAGCATTGTATTTAAACAGTTAGCAGAAGTTGGCTATATATCAAGGTCAGTACCAGGAAGTTGGTTCCTGTAAGCCATAGACCCTATGGCCAGTAGATGGCAGTTGTTGAATGGTTACTGGACCTCTGGTGGAGTCTATCAGGATGGAACCAGAAATAAAGATTTTTTTTGAGCTATGTATCCTGTGAGGTCGTTCTGAGCTGCTACTGAGATAGCATGAAGATTGGAAAGCTCCCTGCCTAATCTGAGACACCAGTTTCCAGAAACCCAAAGAGAGGAAAACTGAGTTAGAAGAATTGCTTCCTTTGCCTGGGAGAACTAAGGTGACCTTGATCAACATTTCAGGATAAACAGGCAAGGAATGCACATTTATACTTGTGGACAATGCATCACAAAGGACATTTGAGTAATCTGCCTTGTTACTTTGTTCTATTTATCCCTAAACTGTGTTCTTGTTTGTCTTTTGTGTGAATGAGGCTGAAAATAA